AGCACCATTTTTGTCGGATTCATCTACTTGTATCATTTGGGAAAAATCTGTGAGATTATCTATTTGGGTAGTAAAAATTTAACATAGAAAACTTTCTAAAATGGAAATTATTTTTTAGTTGTAGAAAGCCCTCATAAAGCATTTTGTTTTATAAACTCAGAAAAAAAAATTTGGTGGTGCCTAATGGGAAATAGAGAGCTTTACTTGCTCAGAGTTATGCTGAATGTACAAAGGAGAAATGTGAGTTCTAGTGCTTTAGGGAACATGTTGCACTTGAATGACTTTTCCTGTAAGACTTGGTTATATCTCCATCCAGGGAAATCATTAATGGCAAAGAAAACTCTTTCTGGTTTTGGGGTACTCCTCTCTGCTTGAACCCTACAGGAATCCTGGCGCTTTTTGTAGTTTCCTGCAGTGCTGGAGATGAGGATTCAGGGTGTCCAGAATACATTCCCATGCTAAAAGCCAAATAGAAGGTAGTCAGAAAGGGCATCAGAGATAGACACCGAGTATTTTGCACAAGAGCAACTCTTGAATCCTGCTGTCAGCTTGAACCGAGCTGCACAGAGCTAGCAGAGGTCCAAATTCCTAGTGGAAGCACCTGAGTGAGTGCAGGAGGTACCTGCTCTGGGGCAGCCTTAGGTTTTTTTGCTAGACAAACCTAGTTCAGGTAACAGGGGAGAGGAGAAGATCCTAGTGAGGGACGACTTGTGCAGGTTTCTCTCTAAAAACTGTTTGTTTTCCATAGGCAAGAATTTAATAAGTAAACTTTTCTATCACAAACCTTTTCATACTCTTTTTGAATGAACTTTTGTGTCAATTTTTCTATGCTATTATGAATGGATTAGTGACTTATCAAAAAAAGAACAAATTAATGCTGGGCAGCACAAGTCATATGAAGGATGCTAAGGGACTATCTTAAATCCTGGGGAGGGCACAGTGCAGTATTAAGGGTGACTAAGTGGTGACAATGGCTTGATTTGGAAAAGAAGTTTGAACTATTTGTGAGTTAAAAGGTGAAGAACTTCTTGGGCAGGAGGTAAATCCCAAGGCAAAGCCTTCCAGTCTGGGTGCCTCTGCAGAAGAGGGCACTGAGACGATCTGTGACAGCGGTGCACAGTGTGCAGGAAGCAGGCAGGAAGGTCAGCTTGATTTGGCTGCTGTTCATATCAGATTGGCAAGGGAGGAGTTCTAAGGATTTCCTAGCAGCTGTGCCTCCTTATTTCAGAACTTTTTTGGTAGAAAGAGGGCTTATTGTCTTGCCAAAAACTCACGTCTCTGCCCCTCCTGATCACTGCCGGGCTGTTCCACTGATTCATATTTATTCCTTTCCTCTAGCAAGAGTCACTATCTTCAGTTAGGACTCATTGAACACACCTAATTTCTGGTTCATGCCACTTGTCTCCCAGCTTCCCTGCTGCCTTTTCCCTCTCAGACCTCGGTGATGCTTTCAAAATGATAAAGCTCTTCAGTATTTTGCTCTTGTAGTTTTTATCTGCGTGGAACTTCCTTGGAAATGTTCTGCCCTACCAGACACAGTGAGCCATGTGCGACACCTTTTCTCCTCATCACAGTGGTCTCTGCTCCCATGCTGCCTTCCTAGTGTTTCTCGTTACGTGCTGTTCACTGTCAGCCTTCATGATGTGTACAGAGCGTCATGCACAATGAGGCCCCTGTCAGCAGGGTTGTGTACAGAGCGTCATGCACAATGAGGCCCCTGTCACTAAGCAGGGTTGGACTTGATAAGTTAAATGTTCTCAGTGTTAATTTATTTTATTGATGCTTTTGAAATGGATTTGCTGAAAAAGAAAGGAAATATGGATGTGGATCGTGTTACCATAAAACCACATGCAGCAAAATGTTCATCTGTCTCCAACATTTCATGTCTTCTGGGCATCCAAGGTAGCTAAGTTTGATTTACACAATCAAGCCATTCATTAAATATCTGTTTGAGTTTTAGGCAGATACATCCTTTATCTAGTGATGAAATCTGACTACAGGAAACAGATATTCCTTTGTGAAAAGACCCTATTCTGCTTTATAAAGTCAGCCTTGCAGCAATATACTTCTTGGAAACTGCCAGGCTTTGTATACCAAATATCGTTGCGAGGGCTCAGCAATAAAATAGTTGCAGACTTGGGATTGATCCAGCCACACAATACTGCACTTTTATGCAATATTTCCTCTTTCAACATGCATCTCCAATGCTGTAATTCACTGACAAGTGTCAGTTCATTTTAATTCCAAAATTCTACTCCAGAACACAAAGCAATTTAGAGCCTGAATGCCTGTATAGGTATATTAATTATTTAAATCACTAGTGCAAGTTGTGTTCAACAGAACATTTAGGGGAGCCAGTTGGGAGCAGAGTGATCTGTTGTTTACTGTTGCCTGTACATTATCCTGGAAGGCAGGAGCACACCCGGTACTGCCTGTGTTCCATATATACCAGAATCTGCATGATGGGGACAAGTGGGGCAAGGAGCCATGGTGCTAGAGAGTATATAAATAAAGTGATTCAGTAAAGAGATGGAGGAATGACCAGTCTATGCAAGGGAATGGCCTGGAAACTTCTGATCTCAGTCACTTTTAGAAAAATTAAGTATCCTGAGGCAGATGGGAGAGGCTGTAAAACCTAGTGCTTGAGTGAGAGCGTTGGTGTCTTTTGCCAAACACCTTGCAGACAAAATGTGCAGGGGGCAGTCGTGCTGCTCTGTCATGTGTCCTCTGTGGGCACTGCTTTCTGGTGTCTCTGGAGAGATAGGTCAGGTTTGTCTTGCACAAGTGGGGGCAACTGTAGCTTTGTTGTTTTTTTTTAAATTTTGTTTTATAAAAACCATAAGTTGTGGCCATTTCTCCTTTTTGTGCCTGAAATGGGCTCAGACCAGCTCAATGGGGCAGGGTGGTCATTCAAATGAGACACATTTTCCGCTCTTCAAAAGCAGCTATGCTGTATTTATTCTGTGGAATACCCAGCAGTGCATTCCACACTTAGCAGCATAATGGGACCTTCAAACGCAGCCGAGTTTCACATGACCTTAGTACATGTGCCTGACGTGAAGCGCCTGGGAGGAGTGACCTGCACCCCATCCATCATGAGGGCTTGTTGACACTCCAGTCGGCTGGGCCGAGGCCTCCCCAGCCCTGCTAACCCCCTACAGCACTCGAGTGGTCGGGGCACGGTGGGCAGGGAGGTCGGTGGGGTCTGTGTTTCCATTGCCCCCAGTTTGGCCTTTTTTGTGGGCAGCCTTTGTTGCCGCTGCACAGAATCTGGATGGGTTCAGAGTTGCAGATGTTTGACAGTTACATAGCAGAAGAAAATAGGATAAAGTAATGTTTTACTTAAAGATACTATGGGCATCAACAAAGATGCAAATGAATGCATGTACCATTTATATTACTTGATATTTACTTATAACCTCCATATTCATGAATTTTACAATTCCAAATACAATGAGACTGTTAGAGTATTTATTACAAAGCTTATAAAATAATTAAATATTATACTTATATTTTGGGTTTTTTTACACCATAATTCATACTTTGTGACATTACCATTTTCTCTTCTCAGTTGTTGTCACTTAAGTGAGCAAAGAAATATAAAGGAAAAGCTATGCATTAATAAATTAATTATTTTACATCAAATAATAAAAAGGGAACAATTATAAAGACAAAAAAATGTAGTGTTCCTAGAAAAAGGTTCTAATTATACAATGTCCAGTATCAAGACAGAGCCTGTAGGCTGAGATATGTTTCCAATCATCATTTCTTGAAAGTACCAGAGGATATATGTTTTTCATTTAAACTGTTGCAAAAGGAACTGCTAATTTTAACTGACCACTGTCTGGCATTAGTGCTGAGCTGGCTAATCTTACACTGAAATGATACTTTAAAAAACAATAAAACTGGGCTACATTCATCAAAAGAAACTGTGGGATTTGGTGGAATTAGATAAATATATCCCTCATGCCACTCCTCAGAAAATTACAGTAGGACACAGCTCTGTCTCAGAAGGGTTTTGACAAATAGTTCGAGTATTTTTTTCAATCAAGAAACTTTTAAACTTATTCCATTTGATACATACTGTCACATAACATCTCCATACTGAATAGTTACAAATATCTTTGTGTTTGTAACATTTATTTTGTTTCTTTGTGGACTCTGAAGTGAGTATTTTGAAGCATTTTGAGAATGTTTAAAAAAAAAAAAAAAAACTTTAGTGAGATTGCAAGTCATTGCTTTTTTCCCTATATTCCATATCACCTGTATGAATAAATAACTAAGAGAAGCTTAATAAGGTCTGAATTAATGGACTGAGTTGGTATTTCCTTTGACTAACTGCTGAATCAAAATTTGCAGGAAGATTTGAGATTAAAAAGAAAACATTCTTCAGTATTGTGGCATTCAAACAACTTCTGAGGAAAAAAAAAACTACTTTAAAATATCAAGTTTAAGTTTTAGCGTTATATCTAATGAGCTTAGAAAGTTGCAAACATAACCACTGAGCTCAATAAATCTGAGTTCCTTGAGTTAATTGAAATGTGAAATTCTATTTTACTTGTAGCACACAGAAGAATTAAGTCCCAATGTCCTAATGGTGAATATTTCTAGGAATACATTTCAAGTTGCTAGTTAACCACCTCTGAATTTCTACACAAAGCAGAAAGTGAATTCTTTGAAACAACAAAAAAGTTAGCATGATGCAAAACTTGCTTTTCCAGCAGCAAGTATGAGAGAGAAGCACCATATATCTTCATAGTGCACCATTTACTTCTGGTGGTCACATGTGTCTCCAACCAGCCATTTGAATGTCTTTCCTGTAAAAGTGGCAGTAAACAGCTTCCTTACTCCGGAAGGGTATTACCATGGGAAATATGAAAGCAAACACTTTTGGTAGTGCCCTCTGTCCTGCTGCTGTGCTGGAACTTCACTCCTGCAGCTGCCCATCATCTCCTTTGCTTTGCATTCTTATGGATGAGCCAGCCCTGGTTTCTTCCTCCTAACACAGGGCAATGCAAAATGACACTTCTAAAGAAGGAAGAACTTCTGGCCCCTTGTGTCTCTGTGTTCAAGTGATCCATAGTACCCTGTACTTTAGTGAGGTCAGCAAGTAAAGAAAAAATAAGACATTCCTTTTTCAACATTAATCCACCAATTACTGTACCTCAGACATTCCCTTAGAAAATATGTCTCTTCTGTCAGTGGTTTATGCGGCACCATGTCCTGCCTCAAAGCAAAGTTAATTCCAACATAAATTGAAGAGGAGACTCCTGTCACTGAAGGGTTCAGATAATGTTTTGCTATCAGTTCTTCTTCGTGCATGATTTACAACATTGCTTGCCATAAAATTTGTGGTTACAGACACCATGCTGGGGTACCAGATGACACCAAGTGAAGAAATCCACACAAGAAGGATCATCTGAAGGAGAGAAATCCAAGCAATACATTAGGTCAGTGTTTCAGCAGTAGTGCTAAAGAGGGAATAATTCTACATACTGGTATGCATTGGCAATGTTAAAAATATTCAATTCAAAAATGAGGCATCTATCAAAATTACTGTTATTTTTAATTTATTATATTAATAGAGAGAACAAGAGTATCAGGAAAAGAGGAAGAAATGGGGAATAGACCACCAGTGAGTGGATAAAGCCATCCATGGTCTCCCTGTTGATTGTAAGTGTTGTTCTCAAGTCAAGTCCTTGCACACTGGATGTGCTCCCGTGCCCGTCAGCACAAACCCTGCGTGCGGGTGTCGTGGGCCGCAGGGCAGCTTTGCGTGCGCCTGCAGTGCGCGGGGCCGGGGCACACAGAGCTTCGCTGGGGTCTGTGCTCCAGCATTGGCCAGAGGCTCTTGTTTGCTCCATTTGGCTATACCAGAAACCTAGGCGAGCTCTCTTCTAACACTTCCCTTCATTAGGTGTCCTGAATGAGGCCTTGACTATGCCATTTTGGTGAAATCTTAATCAACTGTAATGAGAAAAAGAAGCTGACAGTGTTTCTGAAAAGCACAGCTTTTAATGACAAAAATAAATCAGAGTTTTCAATTAAGATTTTATTTCCCTTTTTTTTTTAATGTGCAGATCATTTATACTCACAGCACAGTAGGTTTAAAAATACTTCATAGCTGCTCCTTTCTACAGTTTGTAGTGGATGCTTTATGTTTCTTTAGAAGAGCAGAGTGATGATTCATGCCAATGATTTATAAACAAATTCACAATGTCTGAGAGAGCAGCAAGACATTTAAATGAGATTTAGCAAAATTTATAGCTAGTCTGAAGTCTCCTGTGAGCATGGGAAAAAATTCTCTTCAGCCCTGACAACTACTGTTTGACATGGTCAATGGAATGAGTTTACATGGAGCTACTCTTGCCTGCATGCCCAGATCAGGCATGTTGAGAGCTACAGGGTTGATGCCGCCTCACACTGCCACCTTCTTCATTTTCTATGTCCAGGAGTCATCTCAGTTATTCTTATATGGATTTGTTATATTTCATTTTATTCCTTTTTTAAGAACATATTCCTTATGGTAAGTACTGATGTCACATAAAGAAAATAAACTGTTCTTAAACAGGGTGCAGCCTTCTCCACAGTGCAACCGTTCTATTCTCATTTGAGTGTCAGTAAGGGTAAAACAGGTAGCTTAACATCAAAAACAGATGAAACCCATGCAAAATACAAGATCTTTTCTCATTTGAGAGTTAATTTTTCCCAAGTTATCTGTAAGTTATTTTTAAGAATTATATAAGCAGCAAGGAGGCTATGTTAATCAATCTTTATGCCCTTTGAAGATCCGAGTGCAATGCAAACATTACAGAAGTATGACCAAAAAAACTTTACTCTTGGAATCTAATCCAAAGACCATTGAAATCAACAGAAGACTCCTGCTTTCTTCAGTGGATGTGGATTGGGCTGTCAGCTCCTTATTTCTATTTACTCCATTTTTTTTTTATGTTGTTTTAATTTTGATGCATTCCGAGCAGTTAGGGTTGATGGTTAAGGGTTATGGTGACCGTACCTGTATGCAAGAGAGGCAGGGAACTGACCCAGCTTGTCTAGGGAAGTGTGCAAGCTCTCCCTGAATGTCTCGACTGTGATCACTGATCTGGAGCTGCAGGGCTGATAATAGAGACTGACTTGCTTCAATGTGAGTCCAGCACAGCTGGTTCCCTCTCTTTTTTTTTGCTGGTTTAGACAGAAAGTTAAAGAGCAGTGAAGAGATAATTGATCTCTAGAGCCTGACAACCCAGTTATAATAAAGAAGAAAGGTCTCCTGCAGATGTGAGGAGAGAGAGAAACAGGCCAAGGCCAAAATTAATAGCAGACATTACTCCAGACATGAAGTATTGCAGAGGGGGGGGCTGTGGTGAAAGGATAGTGTTTGATATATCATGACACAAAGGATGCAATAGCAAAAAAAAAAGAAAAAAGAAAAACCAAACTGCAGTACTTTGGAGTAGACCTACACACTTGGTCACCTTTCAGAGATAAACTAAGGGAATTCCATAAACTGATGGAATGAGCGTTGGAGCTAGAAAAACACACTGAAACGTGGTGAGAGGAGAACAAGAGGGAATAAAGAGGGAGGTGAAGGCACCAGGGTATGGGGCCCTGCTCACATGGAAAGCCATATTTAGACAGACCCAGAGGAGGGGTATCTGCATGGTAGTGACAGAAAGGACCTTGCTACAAAGTAGGGACAGCAACAGCTCTGAAATACTGAACATGTCCTAAACAAGGACCATGTATTCCTCTGGATTCCATAAACCAAAATAATTCTACATTCTTTCAATAATATTTCAGAAAAATATTGAAAAACTACAGGAGAAATGTAAAGCAAATTAAAAGTACTTCTCTGTACTTTTAACTGTATCTGTAATCTATGAGATTCTAATAATTTTATGAATCCCAACCTGCTTTTTTAATCTCCATTTACCCTCAGGCCCTACTTCCCTGTTTACCCTTGCCCCCCCTCTCCTGTTTACCCCTCGGCCCTACTCTCCCGTTTACCCTTGGCCTTACACCCTCCTCTTTACCCTTGGGCCTACTTCCCTTTTTACTGTCAGCCCTACTCCGTTGTTTACCCTTGGCCCTACTCCCCCTCTTTTCTTTGGGCCTACTTCTCCTGTTTACCCTCCAGCCTACTTTATTTACTCTCAAGGGGAGAAGTTGCAAGTTTTTTTTTTTTTTTTTTTAAACCCTCGGGCCTACCTCCCTCTGTTTATGCACAGGTCTGCTCACCCTGTTTAGCCTCAGGCCTATGGGGACTCTTTATTGTCTACATACTACAATGAAGCTATAAGGTTTTGCTCACATACGTCTCATAGTGAATACACAGCAGCTTTTAAAAGAACTGATATAGTTCACAGAATTACAGAATCATTGAGTTTGGAAGGTGCGTCTAGACATCATCTAGTCCAACCCCCCGCCCCTGCTCAATCAATCACAGACACCCAGAGCACATGGCACAGGGTGTTGAAGATCTGCAGAGAAGGAGACTCAGCAACTTCTCTGGGCAGCCTGTTCCAGGGCTCTCTCACCCTCACAGTTCACTGGTCACCACAGAAAAGAGCCTGGCCCCATCCTCCCTACAATAACCCCTCAGGTACTTGAACATGTTGACCAAGTCTTCCTCAATCCTTCTCTTCTCCAGACTAAACAGGCCCAGCTCAGTTAGCCTTTCCTCATAATGTAGATGCTCCAGTCCCTTAATCATCTTTGTGGCTCTACACTGGACCTTCTCAGAAGACAGAAGCAAAGAAGGCATTTAGTAACTCTGCCTTCTCTGAATCCTCTGTCACCAAGGCACCCTCCCCATTCAGCAGCAGACTAATATTTTCCCTAGTCGTCGTCTTGCTGCTGATGTATTTATAGGAGCTCTTCCTGTTGTTCCTGACATCTGCCACTAATTCCAACGGGCCTTGGCCTTCCTCATTGCATCCCTGCATTCTCTGACAATGTTCCTATATTCCTCCCATGTGGCCTGGCCCTTCTTCCACATTATGTATGCACTCTTTTTTCTCATTAAGTTATCCAACAGCTCCTTACCCATCCAAGCAGGTCTGCTGCCCACCTTGCTCAACTTCTTTCCCGTAGGAATGCACCGATCCTGAGCTTGGAGAAAGTGGTGTTTGAATATTAGCCACCTCTCCTGGACCCCTCTTTCCTTCTAGGACCCTGGCCCAGGGCATTCCTCCAAGGAGATCCGTAGTTAGCTCTCTGAAAGTCCAGGCTTGCAATCCTACTTCTTGTCCAGCTTCCTCCATGCAGGAGCATGAATTCCAACATCTCGTGGTCACTGCAGCCAGGGCTGCCCCCAACCTTCACACTTCCCACTAGACCATCTCTGTTAGTATCAGGTCCAGGTCTAGGACCTGCCCAGTGGCTCATCAACCACCTGCATCAAGAAGGTACCTGCAATATTTTGCAGGAATCTCCCTAGACTGTCTGTTCCTAGCTGTGTGATTATCCCAGCAGCCATCAGGGTGGAAGTGAGGCCGCGGGCCTCAGGAAGGCAGCAGACTTCTCTGAGGGGAGGGTCATGCCTGTATATCAGACCCTCTGTTCCCTGGACTGAGGAATCACCCACAACTATAACCTGCCTTTTTGCCCTCATGCCTGTGGTCACAATATGTGGAGTTTGCCTTTCTGACTTTATTACTATTTTTGGAGAGGGACTGTCACCTACACTATCCACTGATTTCCCTTCCTCCTCCAGGGCCTCGTACCTGTTGGCTAGGGGTACTTGATAGTGTGAGATGGGGAAGGTTTTCTTCTACCACCACGAGCCCAGCCTCTTACCCATACATTACCGTGCTGGTTTCTTCCCCCTTGGGTTAGGTGGGGAATGAAGTCTGTAATATTGCTGGGCACTTCTTGGTTTCTGTTTCTCCCTCTCTGACTTACAGATACTACTTAGCTTTTCAACCTCCTCTTTTAGCCCAACTACCATGCTGAGCAGATCTTCCACCTGCTCACACCTCACACAGCTGCTCTCCCCCAGGCTGTCCAAAGGAAGTGTCAGGCTATGGCACTCCTTGCAGCCTGACACCTGGACAGCTACACACCTTACTGGTTGTTCAGTCAGGGTGCCCGTCTCCTCCTTGGTGAGTGCTGACGTGGCCCTCCGCCGAGTAATTGCCATGGTGGGTACACCGGGCAGCTCGCTGCTGCACACCCTGCCCTGCCTGCGCAAACTGCCGTGGCATGCTCTGTTTGTCCACTCTGTTTGCCTTTTTTTTAAACATAATGGTGTTGTTTATTTTTTTTTTAAATCTTCTCCTGTCTCAGTTATACTCTCCTGTATGCTTTAAGAGGGTTCTCTTTGAGAAGAGAAAAGCTTCAGCGACAGTAAAGCTGAGAAAGTTTGGAGAAGATTCATGTGTGCAGGAACATGCCAAATACTCATCTCCAGTGGGAACAAGGTGAGTTTTGCTGGATATGACAGTGAACCTCCCTGCAGCATTTAGAGCTGGGTGTTACCTCTCTTGACAGGAGCTGGGCAGAAGTTTGTGTTGCAGGCTCTCAGGATTGCTGGTTTCTGATGGGGCAAGCACCCAGCTGCTGGTCTCCCCTGGCGCAGACACTGCACACTCCGGGTTTGCACTCCCCCTCCACATGTTACTGTACACTACCAAGAGGAAAAAAAAATAGTAAGCCACATCTCATTATAGAAAATCTCTCAGGGCTCACAAAATCCAAAGGAGAAACATTCGAAGGCTTTGGATGAGACCTTCAAAGAAAGAGCGGTCAGGCTCAGATGTGCTGATGCTCAGCAATCCCCACCAGGCCCAGGTTTTCAAAGCTCTGTGCATCTGTTCCCCATGTTGAACTCTTCAGACAGTTTGATTATTTAAGAACTCAGCTGAGAATACAGTTCCTTGCTTTGATACTTAGATATGAACTGGACGTTTTAAAAAACCTGCTCCTGATGGTCTGCACTGATTTATTTTGAATGCTGAGCCTCTGGGCCAAATCCTGCTCTCTGAACTCCTGTGAGATAAAACTCCTGTGAGACTCATAATAACGACAGTACCTGGGGAAAAAACACTGTATTTTCAGGAAGATCTATGATGTGTTTTAAAATGAATAGGCCTTTTACTTGTATGTGTTAAGATATATGTGATCATTTTCATTTGATTACAGTTATCAGGCATATATTGTTCATGCAAATGTTACTAAATAAGTGTGTGTCTCGTTGATATGTGACTCATAAAGCAGACAAGTTCCAGAAATACAGAAGCTGGTTTGCAAAAAAATGTAGAAACAAATACAGTCTGATCCTATAATTAATCATAGTATTTAGGAAATTCCAGACAATCTGTGCTCAAATACATTGCACAGATAGAGTGTAGTAGTTCAACCACAGTGCAGTTTGAAGAAGCCTGAGCAGGAAGAGTTGGAAAATGAGCTTGGAATGTAGTGTCTCTGGAGCACAAATAACATTTTTGGTGACATTCTTCAGTTCCAGAACAAATCAACAACCTGCATCAAAATACATGATGAATATGGACGTGCATCAGGTTTCAGTGTCTGCGTGGTGTGACCTTCCTTAGGGAACGGCTATGTGCAGGAGGCACCTGTGGACTGATATCCTTTTGCTATTTTCAGTAAAAGCACACGTTTGATTGCAGCACATTTAGAGAGACTGAAACAAGTTTTAATCTAGATCGCTCTGACTCATGTGGTCCTAAAGACACAGCAGCTTGTACCAGTAGGTTTTGCCACTTGCCAGCAGAGCCAGAGGCTATTCTTTGCCATGTAACACCATAACACCATAGCTCCTCCAGGTTGGGTGCCTCCAAGATCAAAACTGCAACCCCACCTTTTGGTTATGGTGGAAAGACCGTGTCAGCAGTCCCATTGCAGTTGTTTTGTTCCTCAGTGCTCTGTAATGAAAAGCTCTAGGGGATATTGTTTGAACTGCTGTGTAGAAGAAACTTGTGAGTTTTATAAGCTCAAGCCAAGACATGTAATTATTGCTGGAGATACAGGGCAGGGAGGGAGAGGCAAGAAAGCTTCTAATTCCTACCTGCTGCCAAGGGGAGGAATACCAGCCAGACACCGTGTTATACACGGAGTGTGCTGGACAGGGCCCATTGTTGCAAGCTTCTTCCAAGTCTATATTTGGTTTCTTGATGTTTCTACACCTTCTTGGAGGAAAGGTGATCAGTTTCCCATGGATGCTCTTCTCACCACATTTCAGTTCTCGCTTTTGCACACCTGGGCCACAAGAAGCTGAACACTGCAAAAACAAAGTACAAATTATGTGAAATTACAAAAGCAGTATACAGCTGAAAACACAGAGAGCATGTTCCTGGCCATAATCCGTAAACTGAAATAGAGACCAGCCTGTTGAAAGTTGAGAAAAATAAGGCCATCAGGGTACATCTAACTAAAGCTTGATGTAAAGACCTGTGTGTTTTTATAGGAGCTTACCTAAAGCATCTGATTTTCAAATGAAGCTCGCTTTTTTTTTTTTTTTTTTCTTTCTTTTTTTTTTTTTAATTTCCACATGGTCTGTGCATGCCCTGAGTCTGTGTTCCCAAACAAGACTAGCAAAGTGATGGAGTCAACATGTACCCACACCACTTACCTCACTCCAAGAAGAAACCGCCCACTGGAGCCGGTCATTTTTGGGGCACCGTCCGAGCACGCAGGTCTGCTGGGATTCGGGTTTCTGCTCTTTGCTGCACATGCTCTCAGGCAAGATTTTATGCTTAGGAGAACCGGTACTTTTGCAGTAGACATCCCGTTTCTTAATACCTCTCCCACAAGTCTTGGAGCACTGTGATGGAAAGAAAGACTCATTTGAGCTAGAGGAAATGAAAACTGTCATTATTTGTATTGTACAGAAGAGTATAGAAAACAAAGTTAACATGCTATGTAGCTGCTATAATAATACAAGTAAACGTGAAATTCTACTGGCATATATAGTAGCATAGCATTATCTGCCACTTTTCAAACATTAAGTGTTTTCTTTATGTAGACTACCAACTTGTATAGCCCGCATGTAGGATAGATAAGTAATCTCTCAAAGGAAGGAAGCTTGACTTGTGAGCAAAATGTGTTTTTTTCCCTGGACAGCATATTTGAAAGCTGGTCTAACCTCGACCTCAGAATCGCTCTCAACAAGATGTTCTCAGCTATTTGTTATTTTGTCTTCACCTGGGCCTAAAGGGATGAGGTAGAGGCAAAGAAAACTACCCAGGGACTCCTTACAGCACTTATTCACCAAGTGAATCTCACTGCAGGACAGACTCCGATACAGACAACAGTTAAGATGTTTGACAAAAGATATGTTAATTGCCAAGGCTATAACCAAAGCTTCAGACAAGTCTCTAGTGAATAAATATGCATTGCTGAACTGTGGGTTAGCTTAAAACACATTCTATATTTTTCATTGCCTTCCTTAGCAAGCAACAAAAGGCATTCATGAGTAATTTCTGGTGTAAAAGGGAAATAAATGGCCCTGAGATAATGCTGCTGGCTTTCTAACATTTTGCAATCTCTTTCAGTTGATCTTTTTAATAATTAACAGGCACATTTCAATGCAGAATCCTATGCAGAATCCTATGTCTCTTATATTACACCATAGATGTTTTAAAGATATTTCATGAAAGCAGAGATTTACTGAGGAGGCAACAGAAATACCTGCTTGCTGAAAATCTGATTTATGATCTTTCCCCTAAACAAACAAGAAAACCCTTTACATTTGAATTGACTCTCTGATCTGTGAAGACAGACCGAGTATTTTGTTTTTGTTTTTTCTTTTAACTCATTTGAGTCTGTGATATAGCAGCTTGCAGCTGAAGTCTTGCTGCATTGGTCACAGCATTTCAGCAAGACTGGAGACCTTTCATAGGCCTCATTTGAAAAATCCCAACTAGAGGTATGTATCTCCTAAAGACGAGAAAAATGCACACTTAGTGGCATCAAGGAAATGTTGAAAGTATGAATATATTTGAAATCTGTGCTCTTTCCTTTTCAGTATCTAATCATCTTCTCTTTTTTAATTTCATGCCACGTTAAGAACTCCATCACAGATGCTGAAAATAAAAAATCCTTTTCTACTCTACTGCTAGAATAGTTACACTCTTAACAAAGACAAACGTACAGAAGTGATTATTGTCCATGTAAATCATAACTTTATCAGCCCAGAATTCAAAAAAAGTGTTCATTAACATGCAAATTAACCCCAAATGATTCTTTATTCCTTGACTGCCTCTCATCTCTAAGAAAAGTTAATATTGCTGTGGGAATTAATCTCAGGGAGAGATTCATGGCTTTAAAAAATCCTTAGAGCCTTAAGCTATGAAACCAGAAAAGAGTAATCTGTTTTTTATATAGTAAAAAGGAACGGATGTGTCCATTTCCAGCAAGCCCTGCTGTCTATTCACCTATAAAGGCTAGTTAAATTTTACATAGTTTACATATTATTTTCATGAGTAGACCACCTTGCAAAGCATTAGTTCAGGTTCCGTCTCTTTTAGCAGATTTTTGGCAGTATTTTCATTATGCTAGTGAAGGAAGAAGTTTTTCTCCATATTACCTGAGACCACAGTCCAGAGCTCCACTCAGGTGGGCAGTCGTGGTTGTTGCACACCTGCACTTGGGTAGGGGTGCTCACAGGACACAGGGAATGGGCCACCACCTCCTCTCTTTGGAAAGTCTTTTTCTGGACACACTGAAGGAGACGGCTTTGCTGCCCTCCTCCACAAGACTTGCTGCACACGCTCCATTCTCCTGCCAACCAGCTTAAAGGAGAAATATATATTAGAAACTGTGAATCCAATTAACTTTATAAAATCAATGCATGTGAGCCACCTATCAAATATGATTTATTCACTCATTCTGCTTAGCTTGCTCTACTGATACACTGATATCTTTTCAAGCAATCAGAAAGCCTAAATTACATAATCTATCTTCAAAGCATAGAACATTTTAATAGAGATGAAATATAAATCATATAAATGGAACAACTGCTACTACTAATTTAGTCAGAGTTCTTGTCTACTAGAACAAACTTGTACATAAATCTGACTTGGAATTTGTAACTCCTTGGGGATCAGAGTGATTCTGCCATTGGGAGTTGCAGAATATCTAGAAAACCTAAGGGTCTGGATAACAAATCACCATTCCTTTTCAGCATGTCTCTGTGTTTAATTGAAAATACTTTCTCTAAAACAGGAGGTAAAAAAAAACCTTGTCTAAAGAAATGACAGGATCATCTTTTCTGTCACTTCAGTTGCTGAAGGAAAAGAAGATTCACCTATGTAGATGCTAAGGAAAAATCTGGCAGGGCAGGCAAAGAATAGGGCCAATTTACCTGAGTATGAACTACCAAATTCATTTGTATAGAGAAACATTTGTATATGACTACAGTGGTCACTGTGGTGTCCGTTGATATTTGTCAAGCCTTGGCTTTCTTCTGTTTACAAAAAAAAGAATTTGCTTGCTAAAAATCAGCAGCCCTGTCCCTAGTGCTTGGATGATTTTAATGTCCTCAGACAAAATATTTGGCAGACAAATGTAAAATCTGAACAAAACAGTATGAATTTAACTAGACCAAAGCTGAGTCACAGGCAAACTCCAGTCAGGCATGATCATCACAAAACGTACCTAACGGCTGAAGAATTAATTGCTTAGGATAAGGTGAGTTTTGAAATCTTAAAAGCGACTCAATATTTGTTTTATTGAAGCACCGGGTGGGTCCCCAACCTCTGGGTAATGCTGAGCAAACACACAGCAAAGTGTCTTTGTCCTCACAGGCTCCCAGGGTAAGACCATAAATAACAACCAGGGAGGAAGTGAAGAAAGAAACAGAAGTGAAGAAAGCAGAGGAAATTCTGAATGACTAAATGATTACTCAAGATAAGAATTCTCATCTAAATACCAAGCACTGAATTTAAGATCAGAATTTTCAAAATAGCAGTTTTATGAACTTTTCATAACTTATTTCACCGAAAAAAAATGGTTCTTGTTTCAAATCCAATTGCTTGGCCTATCCTGTTTGGTGCTTTTTTCAGAGCATGAGCTTTGTGACTACTAGAATGGCTGCCTATACAGAATTTTAATGTCAGAAAAGGCTTTTTTCTTTTCACTGTGTGAAGGATGAATATCATCCCATTTGCCTGTTCTTTCATATCTGTCTGAATTCAAAATAAATTGTGAAGATGTATTAAAAGCCTATCTTGGAAAAATTCCTTTGGTTAAAGGAGAAAGCTTGAATCACATTCTAGTAACTCTAGTAACTGCCAGAAGTATTGGGGAAGTATAAAGGGTCACGATTAGGACAAAGAAACATTAGCATGAAAAAAAAAAAAAAACAGTACTTATGTAATTCCAGAAGAACTCAGAAGTTCTCTTTTTGTCTGAATTGTAAATGTTTGAAATATTGAAACACAAACTTCTGGAAAGAAGTCATAGTCCTAATGCAGGCTACAACTTAAAATTACCTTGCCTTGATATCTCTGTTGACTGTGACAACCAGAGGGCAACCAAAAATGATCATTTTAAGAGCTTACTTACCAAAACTATCAAAAAAGTCCCACTCTTCACAGAGGAATGGCCAATAAACCTGCTTTAATGTCCTCTAATAAACTGCCATTTTCCAAGATTAACTGGGCTGTGATCCAACAGTATCTTTCATTAGCTCAAATATCTAAATAATTATGACCAGATTTGGCAGCTCTAAAATCCAACAGTAACAGTGTGCAGTCCTGGTGCCTTTCTGTGTCCGTACTGTTGGGATAGTAGCTTTGTTCCTCCTCAGATTAACAATGCTTTGTTCTCATGCAATAATTATTCTTCACTGAGCTTTGTAAGTCTGGAGTCTTCACTTTCATGTCACAAGACTGACACTCTTGTAGCTCTGTCTACTATTCACCTCCCTCCCCTGCCTATTATGGCTACCACATTTGTTTTTTCTTTATGGGCTTATTTTTAAGCATGCTTTGCTCCTTCCATGATATTTAGTAGTACTAAATATTTTCAGGTTTGGCCGTCTCAGCCTTAGGGGAGCCACTACATGCCATAAGTTTCTGGTAGATTCCTCAGCAGAGATCATCAGGTTTACTTCCCTTCAGCTCAGTGACCATCTGCTGATTTAAGACATGGTCCCACATGTAGTTCCTTCATACATTTAATGTATTTTGAAGATTTAAAAAGAATAATTAATTATTGAATTGAATACTTTCTCTGTAGGTTGGGCGCAGTGGTGTTTTTGTGGGTTTTGTACTTTTTTAGGGTTCAAGTCATTAATTGTGCTGCAAGTACAATCAGACTATTAGAGCAATTCAGCATAAAAATATTGCATTGCATGTCAAAACAGATACTCAGATATTTTCAGTGATACACCTATCAGAGGATCTTCAAAGTATACGGGGACCAGTAATTAACAGAAATGGAGATTTTGTGTGTGGGCAAAGTAGGGACTTTATACCAACACGATGCCACATAACATGAAGGTAAAGCATAAATAACTAAAAAGGTCTCCTGGAAACATCATAGAAACTACATTTCTGTCTATACAATATTGAGCCCATTGGATAAAAATACTTCTGGCAGAAGATAAGTCACATATAAAGAGATTGTGTTTGGCTACAAAGATGACTTAAAATTGGTATTCAGAAAATCATGTGGCTAAATGCAATCTAAAGAAACTGCTGAAGCAGGAACACAGAGCTCTCATGGGATATGCTGCCATTATTTAAACCTTATCTCTATCCTTTTGTGGTCACACTGTATAATTTGCCACTTGGATTTTGTGTGCTCTGCTGTAATCTTTAAATTTAGCAGGAAATTCCAATCTATTACTGCACCATTTTTGAATATGTTAAACATTGCAGACTATGGATTTTTTAAGTAAAAACAAAGCCACTACGCAGCATATATGTCTTTCAACTTTAGCCCATCATCCTTTCCTGGATTGAGGGAGATAGGGAAAGCCTATTAAACTATAAAATGTGTTATTTTTATGTAAGTAAGGGAAAAGGATTGGCCAATTGCTTTTACTACACATTGCTGTTATCACTGCCGAGCAAAAAGAGCAGATTGAGAACAGGACAAGAGCCTTCCCCATTTCTTCTGCCTTTGGCCACCATGCACCACTATCCAACTATCTTCAGTTTCTCACTGAACCACTCAATTTTTCCACCTACCCAGAAGTCAAATTTCTTGCCCAACATAATTCAGCATTTCTGATCTTTAATATAAAACTTAAATAATGCTACAGTTGCAAAGACAGACATGCAAAAGTGGAGGAAAAAAAAAAAGGCAGAAGACAGACTGCCGGTATACCCTTAAATCTACCCATTTATATTCTAACCCACATGAAACTGGTTAATTATATGAATACACAACTTCTTTTTTCCAAAGGACCCCAACCACAGCTAATATAAATCAGTGAGACTCCCATGTTTTCAAAGGAGCTCCATTGATTTATGCTGGCTGGATTCTAAATACTTATCTATATGTCAGTGTCTTCCTTTGCATCTCATTTGCAAACCTAGGAACACAGGAAATGTCTCCATATTTATTTTTGTGGGCACCAGGAGCATTGCGGACAATTTATTTGACTCAGATAATCGCCTTACTGATATAGTAATGCACTATGGTACGTTTTGTCCAAAAATCAATAATTACACTTCACAAGGTCCTTTTAACCTAACCTAATATGTGGAACCTGAGTCACAGGGCCACGCTGCCACATGGGGAGTAGCACTTTACTCAGGAAACGGTCTTATTGATTCAAGGTGAGTAAAGGTGGCAGAACAGGCCTCTAAGAAACTTAGATTTACTCGGTGTCACATAGCTAACCCCAGCATGGTGACAGAGCTGCAAGCAAGCCCCAGGAGGTCTTGCTTAGCACTGTTAGAAATACCGCCCCTGTTGTTATCATTGGGCAAAAGCCTGTACAAGTAACACTTTAAAACAATTGCCGTTTTAAGTTATAGAGTAAAGATGGGTTCATCCAGAAGGCTGTACACTTCTGTGTGCCTATCAGAGAGGACTTCTTTCCTGGGAAGGATAGACCTAAGGCACAAAGAAAAAGGTACAAAAATAAAGAGCACTTACTATGCTGGGCAGGGATTAGTATTGCAGAGTTTTGTTTCAGTTAAAGGCTTTGTCCTTGGCCCACAAAAAGAAGAATTAACTTGCGTACGATGATCTTCTAAACAAACTGCTTTTGATGTAATGTGTCCTATAGAAGTATTAGAAAGAAACATAGTAAAATAAGTGATTACTCAAAATGCAAATGAAAACATAGTAAGGAAGAATTTTACCCAAACAAGAGTAAGCTCATGCTTGGTACAGTTCCATTGACCTGAACTAAATAAAATAGAATTTAATTTGGCAACATGTTTTTAGCACTAATTTTCCTCTCTGCAACACACATACCATTGAGGTCAGATGAAACTATTTATTTATAAGCAAGCAGTACTTTCTTAGAGTTTCCCTTGAATACTTGCAGAAACAAATGGCAGTTTTTCACCTTGTCTTTCCAGACTGCAGAGTTGTAGAAACTCTTGTACCTCTAGTTCCTGCAGCAGGACAGATGAGAGAAGGCTACAAATGCCTTAAGGGATTAAATGATTTTATATATTTATCATTTACTTCACACATGGTTCACTGGCATAGCAAGCCAAATTAGGAACACTTGTGTCCATTGTCTTTGTATGTATGCTGTTATATTTGTTTTGAAAGGAAGCAAGAAAAATACAGCTTCATATTTTATAGCCACTGTACTCCTGGTGGCACTTTTTCCCATGGGGAGTGTACTGATATGTTAGGAAAACTGACAACATCCCAGCATATTCCTAAGATATTCCTAAATATCCAAGATATTCCTAAATATCACCTGGAATTCTTTTTTCCAGTACAGAAGCATAGCAGCCCATCCACTTCTTTACTATTACAGATAAGCACATCATATAATCTTGTTTATATGACCCAGCTCCAATTGAAAAGCCATTAATTTTTTAATTCTCCATTCATTTGGCAAGACTTCCCACATGTCAGTTTTCTGCTTTCATTAAATCCTAGGATTACTTTCAGTGACAGAACATCCAGGATTTAGAAAAATAAATACATGGTGTGAACAGATCAAATACCTAGAGGAATATGGTAATAAGAAATCTTTAGCCTACATAGAATTTCAGAGATTGACCTGGCTTAACTCAAATATTTGTAATTAAACAATGAGAAGATCAGGGTGAAACTGTCAGCAAAGGTCTCGATAATATTTTCATCTTCAATTACTCTCTACAGAGAGATACATTTTATTCCTTATTCTTTGTTATCGTTCTATGTTCCCAAATTACAACTACATCAAAGCACGTATTTAATTCCCTCGTTACTTCGACAGCAAGATATTGTATGGCTAAAACTGACCTGAAGAAGACATACTGAGTCACCTTAAGTGACATGAATTGAGATGGGAATGAGATTTTATTATTATTATTACTAAGAAAGGTGTTTCATTGATGTAATAAGCTGTCAAATAAAAAAAAGGATGAGGCATTCGGCGTAATCCCGTGTCTCTATGGATACAGACTTGTGTGAACTGAGGAGGTGCTGACCCGTTTGAGATGGAGGGTTGGGGCCGGGCGGGTCCCCCCCGCCGCCGCAGGTGGCCGAGCACGCGGACTGCACCGTCACCCACGCGTGGCTGTGTCGCCTCACCGAAGTCTTGTTCTCCTGGGGGCTTTTGGAAAAGGTGTATTCCCAAGCTATCCCGGGATTTTTGCCTTGTAACAGGATCTAGAGAGGGGAATTAGAGTTTGGTTTAAAAAAGGGGTGGGAAGGGAAAGACAAAAGTGCTGTCATTCTAACGGAAGTTGAACGACACAGACTGCCCACATAACATCTATACACACCGTGTTTCTGACAGAACTCTCTGGAGACAATTCTTCAGTAAAGGAAATTTTATAGGAAGTGTGACTACTGGCTATAGGAACAATCTTTGTCACTTAACTCAGGGACCCCAGCTCTTGGAGGTATTTCTCAGTGTCTCACTATTTAATATTTTAGGAGTAAATTATAGTGCAGCTTTCATGTAAACAATTTTCCACAGTTCACTGTATTCATTCCACCATAGTGTGAATTAAAATCAATGCAAGATGTAGGAACATCTGACACATATCTAAATTTTGGGGAAATTTTCTATTTAACAACATTGATTTTAGAAAGCATTTTTGGCAGCTAAGTACATTTATATTCTTTACGAGAATTTACAATTAGAGAACTCTATTAACTTTTATTTCTTGACCAATATGGGCCTGGTCCTACTAATATAAAGAGCAGGTGCAGTTAACCTCACTTCCTAAACATGCTTTTCTATTTCCACTAGCATTTCAAGTATGATTCTGGTTTATGTTAATGATGATTGCTCAAGATATTCATAAAATATAGTAGGCAATACGTCCCATGACATCTGAGTGCTTAAGAACATCCATGTAGGTAGGACTGACCTCTATACAGACAGGTTTCAAAAATCATCAACAAACTTACATTTATGTCTTTTACAACCAAGAAACTTAATAATATTCTAACATGTGGCCAAGTGTTCTAAAGTATTCCAAAAATGTACATATTGGAAAAGAGAAATTACCCATTACAGTGAAAATTTAGACCAAATTTACATGAACTTGAGCTCAGCAATGTTGAACACATGAAGGATCTGGACTGCATAATGTTTACTTTTCTAAAAGAAAGAAAAACGGATGCTACATACTCCATTCTTAGCCAAATATTTCAGTCAGTGAGCCTTGATAATGATCCAAACTGAGAATATAGGAATTCAGAACTATGAAAGGCAAAATACATTCAAAAGAAACGAAGAGTGTGCGTTTTCTCATTGAAAGACTCAGATTAGAAAACCTCACCATAGGTAAATTAAAATATGTAAACAAGACTAAATGCTTTATTAAAAGGAGCTTGTTTCATAAACACCTTGAAGTACCTGTCCCTATTTCTACTGAATATTCCTGAAAGAAATAATGTTACCATATGTGCTTTATAGAAGAGTCATCCAAGTAGATCACAACAATTTTACCAGACCAGGATTAAAGAAAACATAGGAATTGGGCTGCTGGGCAAATTCAAGCTGGCCTGCACAAGCACAAGACAAACATCTAATGTGTGAAGCTGCAGAACACATTCTTTAGTAAAAATGGTGACACTTTTTTCAGAAAAACGTGTGGCATAAAGCCACTTCTCAAAAAAAAGAGCACATTTATGGGCCTATCCAAATATGGGGAAGCAAACAGGTTTGAAAAGTAGCTTAATTTTCTTCCTGTGATGGAAGAAGTTTGGCAATTAGCTGTGTGGTCAAAATCACAGTCCTCTGAGGATGCACCTTTTCCTATTTCAGTGAATGCTCTGTGCTCCTTCAAGTGCCGAGGCTGAACTCCTAACGAGCCTCCAAGTAAGTCCAGTAGCAAAGAGGAGGATCCTTACTCCCTGTCCATGGCTCAGGACCATGTGTAATGATCAACCGTTGTCTCTAGATTCTGTCAACTGTCACAAAACTGCTGTATCGGTGGCCAAAATAAAGAGTCTTCTGAAATAAAAGCCCTCTGGGAAGTACTACCTAGTTGTCAGAGGCAAGAAAAGCACCTGAGCAGCAGGATTCAGAGGGCGGGATGACAAGACAGAAGAAATGGCAACCAGCTGTATCGCTGTTAGAGTGATACTCTGGTGCTTCAACGCAGTGGAAAGGAGGAGAGGCAGCGATCCGCCACAAGCCACAAGGAGCCACGTTAGTGTCTAGCCCTTCGGAGAGCATCACACGACGACACAGGAAAGCAGCAGCCCCCGGAGCAAGTGCCTGGGGCCAACACTGCGGCACGGGGGCTGCGTCCCCGCCTTGGGCCTGGCGAGCGGCCGCCGTCGGGCAAAGACAACGTCTGCGACTTCCAAAGCAGCAGCCAAGCCAGGGCTCCCTCCCACCCACCAGATCACACGAGGGAACGGGTAGAAAGCAGGAGCTGGATTGTACTTGCTGTATCTTATCCTACCTCCTTTCAGCTAAGCCCGGAAAAGTATTGGAGACCCAATATTGCAGGGTACAAAAGGATATAATTTAAAGTCTCTTTTCACTCAGCTGAAAAATGTTATTCAGTGTATAATGTTCGACCAAGTTTTCATCAAGAATGCAATGCTATTGCAAAGCTGCAATTTTGCCAAAGTAATGAATATATTAAAAAAAATTCTATCGTACTTTCAAACATTCATTATAAAGCCCTTCCTTAACAACCCAATAACTGCAGTCTGCATATACAGCCAAGTTATCAGACCCACAATTTGGAAAGACCTCCAATGCTAGTCTACTTAACTGGATGCATTCCAGCATCTTTTCAGCCAACTGGCATTTGCTCCCAAATTTACAGCTGGCAAACAACCTCCTTAAACATTTCCAGTTCCTCAACTGAACTGTTTAATGTCTACCTTTAACACACCAACCACCTGACTTCAGACACAACACTCAGCAGCTCTGACCGCAGGGCGCACAGTTATAAAATTTACAGCTTCTTGAGCTCGAAAACCACAGACTCTATAGCTGGAATCTGCCAGACCAAGCTGAAGGAAAAGAACTGTGGGGCTTTTGCTTAGGGCATAAAATGTTAAAACAATGGATAAGTTGAATTCTCCTGAGTAAAGATCTTTTCCTTTTACTGCTAATTTTGATTTTAAAGCTAAATCCAAACATTTTCTAAACTAGCTGTACATCTGCTCCACTAATATTTTTTTTGATGACTATGATAAGCCTCCAATAAAATACTGCCTTTTGAGGGGGCAAATAATTAAAGTGCCTATCAACATGCCATTTTTATGACCGATTTGTGCTTTTAAGGTATGTTTTATTATAAGATGTTGTATGTGAAATTACTTGCAAATACACTTAATTTAGAGAGATTAATTTAGACAAGATAAAGTCCTTTTTCCTCTATAGCATTCTGTCTAATGTATTGGAAGACATAAAAGCATCTAGCATGTAACAAGTTGAAAAAAATGAGCGAGCCCCTCTATGAAGGACAAATGGATGTTTATCACTTACGGTGTGAAGCTGAGCTTTAAAAAAAAGAGCAAAATAAAGGAATAGCTACTGTTTACTCACACATGCTTCATGTATTTTCATCTTTACCCATTCTGCATTTGCATAGCGTAGAAAATGGGCATAAACCCAAATTTAGAACAGCGACATATATAGTAACTCTAACCTGATTTTTCAATTCCATCTTCATTTCCTGTGTCTCTGCCATGCTTTGTAAAGCTTTGATAATTTGCTTAGGTATAAAAGCAGTCAGCTTTCTCCAAGAGGGCAGACGGAGAGGTCTGTGCGCTTGGCGGAGTGCTACCTGCTGCTGGTATTGCTGCTTCCAGAAAGAAACGCAGGGAGTCCTGCATTTTCATCTACTACTACCCACATGGATTTAATAGATGCTGCAACATCCAGCATCCTGAACCGATTCTGATTTCTTTAATTAATCAAGGTTTATTCCACTGACTTTCATGAGTTTACTTTGTTGGCAGTGGTGCACATCTGAGCATGGAGCATATGATACTGGGAGAAAATGTTGAAACAGTTTAAAAACACAGGACCCTTGTCTAAAACGGGCACATATTGGATGATACCCATGACAGTCGCTAATAGCAAGAGCTTCAAAGGGAAGTGAGAGAACCTGTACAGAAAAAGTGACTGTAAAGGAAGAATTACCCATTAACCAGCTAGCCAGACCTTCAAACAAAAGCATCTTTATGCCTTCCATGTTCCTACAGACACTTTAAAAACAGTCTTAACTAAAAGCTTATGAAAAACTATTGTTTTTCAAGAAAGTCCACTAAGGTCATTAAAAGGAAAAAAAAAAGACAGAAAAAGAGTATCCTTGAAAGGTCTTGTATGATCTCATTCCTTCCTCAGCTGTTTCAAATTTGTCCTCTGTTGTTACAGGGTCTCCATCTTTTTACTGTTCACATGCTAAATGTACAACCTTCAGGGATCCTGTCCAGCTAATCTCTCTTCACTAAAGGAGAACTCTTTTATCCATTATACTACATCAACATCTGTATCTTATAAGCACATCTTAGCTCTCTAACTTACTTTCTCTTTAGGGGAAATCACTACAAATTTATCATCTAGTAGCTAATAATAAATGTAATACTTTATAACTGCAGCTTGGCTTTCTCCCAGTGGCAGCTAGATCATCAGTAAAGTCATTCCACCTGGCTTCCTTTCTCTCTCTCTCTCTCTCTCCTTCTTTTTCCCCTTTATCGACAAGGAGGAAGTGATTTACTGGTTTTAATCAGACATTTTCCTGCTTTGAAGCTCCCTTCACCTTCCCTTCCTGTGGATGTTTGCCGCTTTGTAAAGCAGCCTTTCCATCTGTTACCTATTGCTATCAAGATAAACCATCTTTCTTCACCAAGATTTCATAATTCCCTGATTCCATATTTCACCGAGTGTGAGGTAGAGTTCAGTGAGGATACAGGTTCTGTCTCATCCTGAAAATCTGGGCTTTTCCAAGTCAGATTGGAGTCTCGAATCAATTCATCCTTCATCACCTCACTGACAACACGCAAAATCAGATTATCCCGTTCCCTTGTTTCCAGGTTAGTTCACCAGCCCGCGCTCATGCAGGATTTTCAGTTGAGTTTGTTTGGCCTTTTCAGATCCTCAGTCCCCAACTCCAGCCCGCGGGGAGGTGCCTGGGGACGGCGGCAAGCGGCAGGACGCGCCAGGAGCGCCATGGGCAGCACCGTGCGGCAGGGACCACGCTCTGCGCTCGCGTCCTAAGGCACGGAAATGAGGCCCAAATAGAGCTTTTCAGTTACCGGAAAAACACGGCCAAGGTCTTTAAATTAAAGTGTTGACCTTAGATTACCTCTGATCAGCTGAGTTCATTGGTTTCTACAAACCCACAGTCACCAAAATATCAATAATACAACTGCACCTTCAGAAGGATGCACAAATTATAACGGGCACCGATTCAGTGGCTTGACTGTGCTGCCTTCCCTCCATACGTGAATTTGCTTCTAGAACAAAGTAGGAAAAGCTCTGACGAACTCCTATATCGAGCCATACATTTACACTTTGTAGCTGAGCTCCGGAAATACTAGTCCTCCACATTTCATTCCACATTCTTGACACAGTGTCCTCCTCCTCCTCCAAAAATATTTGGCCAGGGAAGTTTGTATTTTTTCTCTCAGAACCTAGTTAAATTTCAGAGTCACTGCTCTTTGTCTTCCTTGGTATGCTGACTCCCATAATTATACTTATATATGAATATATAAATATATATAAAAACATATTTTCTAAAATTCCAATAAAATTGTGAAAAAAAAGTATCATTCTTTTCTCGTCTCTTATCCTTTTGAATAATGTCTTAGGACTGCAAATCTGATTAAATGATGTGTGCCAAATGGAACCACTGAAAACCTGATAGAAAAGATGCATAGGAGTACTCTGTACAACAATATATCACAAATATGAAAGAGGTAGTGTGACTGCAAGGCTGCATTATTGCTATTTTTGTAGCATGGAAGAAAAGAGCGATTCTTTTTTCCTATTTGGGTTGCTCCTTTCTCGCTTAACACACGCTTCAGATGCCCTTTCAAGCACATACTTTGCAGAATGACTGCGTGTGCAGGGAGGGATGGCCCCGGGCACCGACTTGCCCGGCGTGCCTGGACGCACCGGGCAGCGCAGGCCCCGTCCCCAGCACAACTGGCTAGCAAAGCTCCGGCTGCTGGTAAGAATTCCATCTGCTAATATTGCTTAAGTTATTGAAAAAATATTAACTACTGCTCCTAGAGATATATATTTTGGGAATACATGACTAGTTGTTACAATCCCCAGTTACCAATGCTAGCAGTATAGGTATTTCAATAAAAATACAAGGGAAGTTTAAATAAGCTCTCATAGGAGCAATAGCCTCCAGTTAAATGCTAAATCTTAATAAAACTGTTTAGCATAATTTGATAGGATGAAAATAGAAGTGTTATTTGGCATTAAAGATCCTTTTTTTCCCCTTTAATCTCTTTTCTGTAAAGTTTTTGCACAATATGCAGCCAAGTCAGTCATCTTGTAGGCAATTTAATATTCATACTTTAGTTCTGCAATAATGTAGTTCAATTTCATTTGTATTATGACAAATAAAATTCCCAATAGTTCAGTCTAACATTTTATAGTATTTATAAATGTGCTTGCTGCTTTGGTGTAAGGCTATTTTGGAAATGATTTCCAGACTGGAAAACATGTCTGTAACTTGTAGACCAAACTCTTCTTTGGACTAAAATATCCTTATTAACATACACACCCAAATGGAAAATTTTCATTTGAGAAAACAATGCTTTAAAAAGGCATTGCAAATCATGGTAATCACTCGTGAAAATACTCAACTGTTAGCCCATGAGAAGTTATCCATCCTAAAGCAAAACACTTAAAATCCTCTCTGAGAGCCATTGAAGCCCATGGACCTTAAACATGTTTAAGAACATTACTCCATCAATAGGAGTATCAGTAAAACTCTTACACATTCCAGGCAAAACCTGTACTGAATAGCTGCAGCCCTTGATCAGGTATTCCTTGAAGGATATATTTCATGTTACAGTCTCTAACTATGGTGTTTCTTAGTTCATCAGAACAGAGGTATGCGAGAGGGACGCTGCAGAGCACTGGGGTGTC